TGATGGAAAAAAAAAAAAAGATTCCTGGATGGGGCCACTGTCTGTGTGGAGTTTGCATATACTTCCCATATCTGTGTGGGTTTCCTCTGGGTATTCCAGTTTCCTCCCACATCCCAAAGATATGCACATTAGGGTAATTGGCATGTCTAAATTGTCCCAGTATGAGTGAGTGTGGGGGTGTGTGTGAATGTGCCCAGCCATGGAATGGCATCCTGTCCAGAGTTAGTTCCCACCTCACACTCTGAGCTGTTGGAAGAGGCTCCAGCCACCCATGACCCTGAGCTGGATTAAGCAGGTTTGAAAATAATTCTCTTATTTGTTTATGTTAATCTTTCTTAAATGCATGTAGAGCTCACATTTATTTCAAAGCTTAATATTAGAAGTGTTTTGTGTCTTTATTTAGAAGTTCAGAGATGTTTTTGTGACCAGGAATATGCCATAGGAACTTAACTCTTGTTTATATCAATTAGCCTATTGTAAAATTGGTTTTGCTATATGTTGTTTCATTTAAAGTCATAGTTTCCAAGAATCTATTGATAACATTAAGTGAGGTCTTAATGTATTGACAAAGAAGTAAAATATATCCAAATTGAAACAGAAGAGGTAAAATTGTTATGTGCAGATAATATGATCTTATATATAGAAAATCGTAAACAACCCTCCCTTTCCCCAAAAAAACCCTGTTGGAACTAATCAATGAATGCCCTTCAAAAAACAGCCAGATGTTTCTCCAGCAAAGTGGATTTATTTGTGAACGACAAAGAATTGCAATTCAGGACATGAGTATGGCAAACCAAACACAAGTCCAGAGAAGCAAAGGAGAGGAATGTTCTTTTATGGGCTTGGGAAGAGCAGTTGTAAATGAAGAGTCGATTGAAAGAAACTGAAAGTTCAAAGTATAGTGACTTTTCATTGGCCTAGTTATGGCAGTCTCCCATTGGCCCAGCTATTACTGGGCAAGGAGGAATCTTTTCTTACTCCTGCTGAGGTAGTAAAGTAGCGACACTTCTTGTCAGAGGTGCAAGGTACATCTCTTACTGTTGGGGTCAGTCATGTGCATTGAGTGCACATGCCTGAAAGTTCACTCTTTTAGCCTTCTTACTCCATTTTAAATGAGGTTTATGTTTATTAATTTTTTCACAACAAATGCAGTAAATTTTCATGACATAAATTCAACATAGAGAAGTCAATTGAATTTCTATACACTAACAACTAAATATCTGAAAAAGAAATAAAGAGAAATAGCCCATTGATAATAGCATCAAAAACAATAAAATACATGTACAATAATACCTTGGTTTGTGAGCATGATTATTTCGAGAAACAAGCTACTCGTATTGCAAGACATTGCTCATTTACCACATTAAAATGCATTAGAAATGTTTGCTCATCTTGTGGAACACTTGCAAACCTCGTTACTCGCAATGTAAGGTTTTACTGTACCTAGGAATACATTTAACCAAGGAAGTGAAAGATCTACACAATGAAAACTACAAGATTTTGATGAAAGAAATTGAAGACAAACAAATGGAAAAATATTCTGTATTTATGAATAGAAAAATTAATATTGTTAAAATGTCCATATTACCCAAAGCGATCTATAGATGTTTATGTGAAACCAAAAAGACTCTGAATAGCCAAAGCAATCCTGAGTAAGAACAAAGCCAAAGGAAACATACCTTCTGATTTCAAACTATACCACCAAGCTATAGGAATTTAAATAGTGTGGTACTAGCATAAAAATAGACACATAGAACAATGGAACAGAATCAAGAGCCCAGAAATAACACCCCATATATACAGTCAACTAATATTTGACAAGGGAGCTAAGAACACTCAATTGGTAAAGCATAATCTTTTCAACAAATGATGTTGGGAGAACTGTATAACCACAGGCACAGCAATGAAATTGGACCCTATCTTATCACTCACAAAAATTAACTCAAAATGGATTAAAGACTTAAATGTAACACCTGACAGAATAAAACTCCTAAAAATAGCTTTGGAGGGGCCAGCCGAGTGGCAAGTTGGTTAGGAATTGGCTTGGGGTGCCAGCTCTGAGCAGCGGGGCCTTGGTTCAGATCCCACATGAGGGCCAGTGATGCTGCGCCCTCTATAGCTAAGATGGTGAACAACAGCTCAACCTGGAGCTGGACTGCCGTGAGTCGCCG